AAAGCCTAGCATTTTAGATGGTCATCGAAGAATATTTAGCTTGTGAAATGGTCCACAATTTTGTGTAAAAAATACATATTTCTTAGGGGTATTCGGCATTCTCGGCATTAAAAGAGTTTCAGTTTTGAAGACATTTTATCGCAAATTGTAGTGTTGTAATTGTTTGAAATTGCATATGCAAGTCCAAGCCATCGTATAGCCCCCATATTCAGTTTTTTGATGATTTTAGCAACATTATTCTCCGGAATAGTTTCAAATTTCCCATCTGCACTTTGTAATAGGTACTACAGACTGTGGTAGAAAATTGCGTTTGCAGGTTCACGACTTCGTATGGACCAAGTTAAGGTCGTATGGACCTTAACTTTGTCATTCCGTTTGTAACATCCCTAAATATTCATCGTAGACTCCATAAGGTACAATATTTAACGATGCCCGTCTGTCTGTCTATTTAAATAACGATACAGCCCACATTATTTGACGTAGACTTTGAAAAATTGGTATATGTAAGTCATAACGGGTTTTAGCTCGTGTGACGAAAAATTGTATGTATAGGTCCCCGTTTTGGTATAACCCCTATACAAGGGTACCTCCCGATATTCGGTATTTTGATGATTTTTGCCACATTTTTTTTTCGCGGATTTGTCTAAAATTGGAATTTGTTGGTCATGATGGGTTTTTTCTCTGCTGGCGAATCATTGTATGTATAGGTCCATGTTTTGATATAGACCCCATGTAACGGTACCTCCCGATATTCGGTATTTTGATTATTTTTGCCATATTTTTTCACTGATTTGTCTAAAAATTGGTGTTTGTGTGTGGATTCTAGCTCCGGTGGCGAAACAGTGTATGTATAGGTCCACGTTTTGGGAGAGCACCAATATAACGGCACCCTTGATATTCGATATTTTAATAACAATTGGTATTCGCAGTTCATATTGGGTTCTAGCCCGGTGGCAGAACGTTGAATATTTAGTTCCACGTTTTCCTAAAGCGCACATATAACTATATCCACCGATGTTTGGTATTTTCATAATTCCAGTCATATTTACCCACACAATTGTTTCAAATTTGGTATTTTAAAAGATTTGATAGATGACAATCCTTGAAGTATAAAATTGCCTATAGAGGTTACCGCTTTGGAATGGCCCCATATAACGGCCTCACTCACTCCTCTATTGTTTTTATACCCTCAGCCATATGGCTACAGAGGGTATATATCATTTGATACGGTCAAAACGTGCCTAGTCGAAATAACGGTTTTAGACCCTAGGTCTCTTTGGACCAAATCCGTTTCAGAACATTTGGAGTCGATCTACCGATGTCCGTCCGTCCGTCTGTCTGTCTGTCTGGCTGGTGCGCACAATAACTCTTGAAGGGAGTATCCGATTTGGTCCAAACTTGATACATCGTAATATTTTTGTCAAACTTAGATCGAGTTCGGAGATGGGCAATATCGGTCCACTCCTTCTGGTACCACCCCACAAAAGGTCGAAATTTTCAAAAAATTTATTTTTTGCACAGAAAGAGAAGCGATAAACCGATTTTGCCCCAACTTTGCAAATCTTAATATTTGCGTCAGTGTTAGGTCAAGTGTGAAAATGGACAATATCGGTCCACTCCATCAAGTACCTCCCCCACAAATGGTCAAAATTTTGAATAATTACAACTCTCATAATATGTGATGTAAGTGTCCGATTGTCTTCAAATTTCACACATGCCAATATTTATATTAGCCCAAGGTCTGGTGTTAAGATGGAATATGTCGGTCCATTCCTTCTGGTACCTCCCCCACAAATGGTCGAAATTTTAACAAATATATATTTTTTGCACAGAAAGAGAAACGATAATCCGATTTTGCTCAAACTTTGCAAATCTCAATATTTGCGTAAGTGCTAGGTCAAGTGTAAAAATGGACAATATCGGTCCACTCCTTCTGGTACCTCCCCCACAAAAGGTCGAAATTTTCAAAAAATTTATTTTTTGCACAGAAAGAGAAGCAAAAAACCGATTTTGCCCCAACTTTGCAAATCTCAATATTTGCGTAAGTGTTAGGTCAAGTGTGAAAATGGACAATATCGGTCCACTCCATCAAGTACCTCCCCCACAAATGGTCAAAATTTTGAATAATTACAACTCTCATAATATGTGATGTAAGAGTCCGATTGTCTTCAAATTTCACACATCTTAATATTTATATTAACCCAAGGTCTGGTGTTAAGATGGAATATATCGGTCCACTCCTTCTGGTACCTCCCACACAAATGATCAAGATTTTCAAAAAAATCTATATATATAAAAGAAAGTTGTGTTAGTTACTACGCTTATAACTTAAGAACCGCTGGACTGATTTTAACGATTCATACAAATTCGGAATTGTCTCATCTCCGAAAAGGATAATATCCAAAAAAATCGCGTAAAAATGTGATATATTAACATTTTCATTTTGACTTTTGAAATGTACAATAGTAATGTTTTATTTTGCATGATTTTTTCCATTTTGACTTATTTTTTTCTAATGTACATTTGTAGTGTTTTTTATATTTTATTTTTGAATTCAAATATTAATACCAATTTATTTAATTGACTTGATTTCTTGAGAAATTAAATTGATGGCGATTTACATGGAAGTGTAGTACCGAATTATGTGGTGGCGAAACGGAATAGATGATGTCGAAATAATTTAATGGAATCGAATTTAAAAATAGAAGTACATTCTATTGACAAACTATATAAGGATCTTTAAACATTTGCTGTAAAAAATCAGCGAACAAGTTGAAGATTTTTTCAATATGTTATTCTTCTTTTGTCAATTTTTTTCAATTTGTATTATCTAATTGAATTCAGTAAATTTTTTGTAAACAAAATAAAGAATAATTTTTCACTATATAAAAATTTTCACCAAAAAATGAAATAAGTGGGAAATACGACGTAAACTGACATCTACCTTTCAACTCCAGGGGCCGACATCGTGGTTCAGCTGGAAGATACAAACACATTTAAACAAACAAAAATCACCGAAAAAGCCTAATGGGGCACATTTCAAAGCGTGGAACTACTTCTTTCCTGTCACAATAATCCGTCCAATGTAGAATCAGAAAAATACCAAATATAAAGGGTGGAAAATAGTAGAGCGAATGGGACTCTTAGTAAGAAAAATATTTCTATACTTCCAGAAAATCTTCCCAAACATTCAAGATACCTTAAATCGCTTTTGCAGGTCATGATATCGATCATAACTCACGGATAAGGTTACAACCCGATTTCATATTTATATAACCATCGTATGATTTAAGCTATTTTTGTTGTCTTGGTCACTTTTTTAATATTTTGGCCATTATTTGGCATCTTTGTTTCTAAGGAGGTAGAGAACCTCTTCGCATAAAGAAATTTTCAGAGTAGGGCCCATTTTGGTCTTGACCACATTCATTAATTGATTTGGCTAAAAACTGTATTTATTCTACCCTTTGGTAGGGAGCCATCATACAGATAATTGCCACATAGGAATTTATTTAAGTAAAGTCCCCACATCCCCAAGTCCACTGTCAGAAAAGAAAATTTTTTTCTATTGAATTTGTAACCCCCAAGAGAATATTGGTTGGGCCACGTTTTGGTATAACCCTTATATAAATGTATCCCTGATTTCAGCTGTGACCGTGGTCTTGGCCACGTTTTTCAACTGATTTGGCCATTATTTGCTGCATTTGGGCTACTTTGTGAGTAGAGAACCATCTTACAGGAAAATGTCAACGTACGTAAATATTTTGGTACAGTCCCCATATAGTCCCCAGGTCCGCCGATCTATAGTGATGTTTACCGATTGGCGGACAACAACGCGGGTATTGTTTAATCGTCATTGAATTTTACTATGAACAAGAACATAAACTTTTTGGGGACTATAATGAGCAATTTGAGGTGCTATGGTAATGGGTGTAAAAGCGTAATTAACTTTGACTATTCTGAAATTATTTTGCCCTCCTTCCATAGTTATTTATTTCTATTTAGTCGAATCAATATTTATATTACAATTTGTTCACCTTTATAAGCTAGATTTGTGAAATATTATGCTATGCAAAATTTGCTTTAAAGACTAAAATTACGGGCCGGCAACGCGGACCGGGCCAGCTAGTAAAATATATAAAAAAAATATTTTCTGCACAGAAAGAGAATCGATAATCCGATTTTGTTCCAACTTTGCAAATCCTGATATTTACATCAGTTCTAGGTCAGGTGCAAAAATGGATAACATAGGTCCACTCCATCAAGTACCTCCCCCACAAAAGGTCGAAATTTTGAATATTCATCACGCTCTTAAAACACTTGAACACGATTCCATTCCAAAGAATCCGAAATAAACATCCAGTTCTCTTCATATTACACACGTCCCATTATTTCTACTAACTCAAGATCTGGTGTGAAGATGGGATATATCGGTCCACTCCTTCTGGTACCTCCCCCACAAAAGGTCAAAATTATGAGTATCCATGAAGTTCATAAAACGCAAAATTATCATCCGATTCTATTCAAACTAGGATGATGTATTTTATCTGTATTAGATGAAGTGTGAAAATGGAATACTTCGGTCCGCTGTATCTGTTACCTGAGGCATATTTCCATTTTCCGAAAAGGTGCACATACCTCATATAAAGTACAAGAAGTAGTCGATTTAGTCCAAATCTGTCACGTTCGTAACTCAAGGCTGAGGGTATACATCTGTCGGCAAAACCGACTGATACTATTTTACTTGTTTTTGATAAATTTAACTGCATTATGCAAACGTTTTACTGGATACTTTTATATAAAAATATTTTTTTTTTAACCTAAGGTGGAGGATATTGAAAGGTCGTCCTGGCAGAACTTAATGTTTTTTACTTGTTTTTACAAATTTGTTTCACATGGTGGAGGGTATTCTAAGTTCGAAACTTACTGCTTTTTAACTTATTTTATATATACATTTGTTTCATAGCATCTAAATATATTCCTTCTTCTTTCCTTCCTTTCAGCGTCAAGCAGCATTTATGTTACCATGGCTGATAATGTCAATTGTTGTGATAATAGGTGACATTACCTATCTTGCGGTATTCCCAAATATCATATTGGGTATATTTAGTTCCTTGGTGATATGTAAGTTAATCTATATTCAAACTTAATAAATTCAACTAATATTTCTTTCTCAATAGGTCCCCTTCTCCTTTCCTGGTATCCTCTCTATAAATTATATGGAAAATATAACAAAGAGAAAACGAGAGAGGAACAACGTCTCTCAGATGCCTTGGACGAAACGCACACTCTGAATAGGGCAGCACAACTAACGACGCCACCATCCACCCTATATCCCAATGACGTTGTTCAATATTATCGATCGTTGGATCGTCGGCCGGATAGTGCTGCCTACGACGCAAGTTTACCGGTCGATCCCAACTTTGCATATATATCCGGTACTCCGGCACCGGGTTGGCGAATTGGTTTATATCCGAAAATGTCAAATAAAGAATATGTTTAGAATAGGAAATGAGAATATTCATTTTATTGCATATGCGTAGGGAAAAATCGGCACAATTGAATTTCGAGGGATTCTAATTTGGAGGGATGAATTAGGAGTTAAGACTTCTTTCGGAAAGACTTCAAGAGTAGAAGTATAGTAGGCTTTGTAGATAAAGTAGTGAATTTTGTTGATGACTTCTTTATGTGTTATTTTCCTTAACAGGTGGTAAATATATATGTATTGTAAGAAAGTCAATTAAGGTAAGGTTGAAAAGGATCGGTTATGTACTAGTTCAGTGAATTATGGCGTTGGATGGCATTGATCTGGACAACGTCTACTTTCAACAAGACTGCGCTACGGACCGTGTTATATCTTTAAGAGGTGATTACAATTGGTCACTGAGATCTTGTGATTTGAGACCTTGGGGTCAAGTGAAAAACCAGTAAAGAAAGTCCTAAAGTAGGGCGAGGCCGATTTTATGATACCCTACACCACTTTACTAATTTAGTAGAGCTGCGCATAACAATTAAAAGCTTTTTATGGGAGAATTCAATCATACACGCTATGACGCTATTACGGAGGGCATATCACGGCTGTGGGTAACAAATACAACAAATCGGATGAACAATATATATGGGAGCTATAGCTATATCTGAACCGATCTTCACCAAATTTGACATACTACCTTCTAGACTCAATTCGGTCGTATGTGCCAAATTCCATCGCATTTGGACAAATATTAGACGTTTGGTGCACAATAAAAGGTAAATCGGACGAAGTTATATATGGGAGCTATATCCAAATCTGAACCGATCTCGATAAAATTTAGCATATGTATTTCTGAGCTGCATTTGATATATTTCCCCAAATATTGTTGTTACAGAGTGCATATTACGGCTGCGGAGGACAAAAATAACAAATCGGATGAACAATATATATGGGAGCTATAGCTATATCTGAACCGATTTCGATCACATGGCACACTTATTTTCATGCCTAATTTGGTTGTATGTGCAAAATTCAATACTATTCGGGCTGATATTACACATTTGGTGCACAATAAAATGCAAATCGTACGAAGATATATATGGGAGCTATATCTAAATTTTTACCGATTATCTCCAATTTCAATAGGGTTCGTCATTGGGCCAAACAAATGTTGTTTGGAAAATTTCATCTCAATCGGATAATAAATGCGACCTGCATTTTGTTCACAAGAATACATGGACAGACGGACGGAAGGACGGACGGACAGACGGACCGGTCGCCAACTGAGAGTCGATTGAAGACCTCAAAGATGGAATTCGTATGCCTATACTGGGCATATGCATATGAGTTTATGCTACATTATATGAAAATAATATGATCTTTTAAGCGTGCTCGTGGTGCCCACGTGGTCGATTTTGTTTTCCATTATGGCATATGTGTTATTAAATAAAATATTTTAAAAATGAAAATTTTCTTAGCATAAAATAAATAAATAAATAAATAAACAAAATATATACAGGGTGAGATAAAAAACTGCAACAAAATCAAACGACATATTTTTACATTTTTTTAATATTATTGAATGAAAGCAAAAAAATTCGGAAATAGCATCAAATTTTTGAATAAATTTATGTTAGTTCGAATCGGTCACATTTGCCACGAATTATGGCCTTCTGCCGTATTTCGGCCCATTCCCGGCGAAGCGTTTGCTTGAGGTGATCGACACTTTGGTATTTTTTAGTGCCAACCTTGCTTTCCAAAATACTCCAGACGCAATAGTCCAACGGACTGGTATCCGGAGATTTTGGTGGCCATTGTGCGCTGGAAATAAAGCGAGGAACCTCATTTTGTAACCATTCTTGGGTGGCGCGTGCTGAGTGCGATGGTCCTGTTGGAATGTCCAAAGTTTGCGGGCAAAATATTTGCGTGCCCAAGGCTTTAATGCACCCTCCACAACATTTTCGCGATAATATTCGGCATTTATTCTGATTCCACGGTTGATTAATACGAGCGGAGAGCGACCATCGACTCACACCATCACCATGGTCGGCGCTTGTGCTAGTAAACACGATCATTTTGTTTGTTTACAAACTGCTGGACAACGAATGTTTTCTCATCGGAGATAGCCAAATTCGGCAGTTCACCACTTTCGGCTCTTTCAACTCGCGATATATTCAGATCACGAGCCATTTTCGGCCACTGTCGTTTTTTATACTTTTCGAACCATTTCTTCTGATGTTGCTGTTTTCTTCCGTTCACTTCCTTGACGTCGGGCTATGCTACCAGCATCACGGTAACGAGCGATGGTACGAGACACAAAAAATTTATTCACCCTTTTCTCCAATTTCAATAGGGCCAAACTAACGATCTGTGTAAAATTGGATCTCGATCGGACAATAAATGCGACCCGTACCTTATTTACAAAAATACACGGATGGACATGCATAAATCGACTCAGAATGCGTTTCTACACAGATCATTAAAAGGGACTGTGGGTCTATTTCACTTTCTTCTCTATGTCACAAACTAATGCACAAATACATAATACCCTGACAACAATGTGGTGCAGGGTATAATTATGCAATTGTGGAGATTGGTCCACGTTTAGGCACTGTCTCCATATAACTGTAACCTCCGAAATTTGAAGATTTAAGGTACACTTTTTATTAAAATGGATTTTAATTTGACATTTAGTGTTCTTAATGGGTACACAAGAATTGAGGCCCTGATGTCCTTCCAAAATAATGTTAATATGGATCCACAACTTTATATAACTCCCATAGAACCCCACCCCCGATTTCAATATTTTTAAAAGATTTTCATTTAACAATATACTCAAAAAAAGAAAAAAGGAAAAAGCAGCTAAGTTCGGCCGAGTCGAAATTTTTATTACACCCTACACCACAAGGTGGTCATTATACCCTATACCACAATGTGGTCAGGGTATTATGTCTTTGTGCATTTGTTTGTAACAGGCAAAAGGAAACGAGATAGATCCATAGTTCCTTTTGATGATCTGCATAGAATCACATTCTGGGTCTCCGTCTGTTCGTCTGTCCATGTATTTTTGTATCAAAGTACAGTTCGCATTTATTGTCCTATCCAAATGAAATTTTGCACAAATCATTTGTTTGACCTAAGGGCGAACCCTATTGAAATTGGAGATAATCGGTAATTATTTAGATATAGCTCCCATATATATCTTCGTCCGATTTGCCTTTTATTGTGCACCAAACGTGTAAAATCAGTCCAAATAGTATGGAATTTTGCACATACAACAAATTGGGCCTGAAAATAAGTATGCCAAATTTTATCGAAATCGGTTCAGATATAGCTATAGCTCACATATATATTGTTCATCAGATTTGTTATTTTTTTCCTCCGCAGCCGTAATATGCACTCTGTAACAACAATATTTGGGAAAATATATCAAATACATCTCAGAAATACATTTACTAAATTTTATCGAGATCGGTTCAGATTTGGATATAGCTCCCATATATAACTTCTTCCGATTTACCTTTTATTGTACACCAAACTTCTAATATTTGCCCAAATTGGATGAAATTTGGCACTTACGACCGAATTGAGTATTGAAGCTAATATGTCAAATTTGGTGAAGATCGGTTCAGATATAACTATAGCTCCCATATATACTGTTCATCCGATTTGTCATATTTGTTACCCACAGCCGTAATATGCACTTCGTAACAAAGATATTCAAGGAAATATATCAAATATCTTTGCCAAATTTTATCGAGATCGGTTCCGACTTGGATATAGCTTCCATATATATTTTTATCCGATTTCAAATTAATTTTGCACCAAATGGGCAAAACAAGTCCGAATTTAAAATATACGAGTGCTTCTCCTTTCCTTTGAACTTTAAATTATAATCATAGCGTGTATGATTGAATTCTCCCATAAAAAACTTTTATTTGTTTATGCGCAGCTCTACTAAATTAGCAAAGTGGTGTAGGGTATCATAAAGTCGGCCCCGACCGACTTTAAGACTTTCTTTAATGGTTTTTATTTAAAAAAATTCGTTGAAAAAAATACTCATCTAGTGAAAACCGTTATATGGGGGCTATACGAAGACGTGGTCCTTCTGAGTTAATTTTTTGTCATAGGCTGTAATACCGGTTACGAGCTTCAAATACGACATTTGCAACAATTCCGGTGATTAATGTCACTAAAATCATGAATATACCGAATATCTGGGGATAGCGTTATATGGGTGTTACACTAAAACGTGGACCAATGTAGGCAACTCTCTTGCAGGCGGTAAAGTACTCAGAAGGATCTCTTCAGATAACTCCATTAAAAAATGTGTCTAAAATTATCGAAATTCCGATTATCTGGAGGTATACGTTGGGGGTATACGATAGTGCGATACTACTCGGAAGGAACTTTTTGTGTGGATTTTCAGACAATTCCAGTGAAACTTTTGTAACAATAATTAATACACTGAATATCGGGGGGCTATACTATATAGTGGACCGATATAGTCCATCTACGAACTTCACCTGCCTGCAGACAAAAAACTCTGACTCGATCAATTATTATACTTATTTATTTTTTTTAATTGTTATTTGTTTTGTTCGTTTTACCAAAATTATAAAAATTGTACAAAAAGTCCTCTTTTTAGAAATATTAAATGAAATGTGTGCTTTTTGTAAATTACACAATTCATTAAGATTTTGTTGGAAAAAAAATTGGATAGGTGAAAAGGGGGCTTAAAAGTGCATTCGATTTATGCATATTATTCGATTGAGATGAAATTTTGCACAAGTCATTTGTTTGGCCCAAGGACGAACCCTATTGAAATTGAAGATCAAAATTGAAGGTCAAAATTTAGATATAGCTCCCATATATATATTCGTTCGATTTGCCTTTTTTGTGCACCAAACGTGTAATATCAGCCCAAATAGTATGAAATTTTGCACATACAATCAAATTAAGCCTGAAGAAAGTATGCCAAATTTGATCGAAATCGGTTCAGATACAGCTACAGCTCCCATATATATTGTTCAACCGATTTTTTTAGTTTTGTCCTCCGCAGCCGTAATATGAACTCTGTAACAACAATATCTGGGAAACATATGAAATACAGCTCAGAAATAACTTTGCTACATTTTATAGAGATCGGACAGATTTGGTTATAGCTCCTATATATAACTTCGTCCGATTTCCTTATTAGACCAAATGGGATGGAATTTGGCACTTATGACCGAATTTAGTCTAGAAGCTAGTACGTCAAATGTCGTGAAGATCGGTTCAGATATAGCTATAGCTCCCATATATATTTTCATCCGATTTGTTATATTTGTTCCCCACAGCCGTAATATGTACTCCGTGAGAACGATATTCAGGGAAATATATCAAATACAGCTCAGAAACATATATATGCCAAATTTTATCGAGATCGGTTCAGATTTGGATATAGCTCCTATATAAATCTTTATTCGATTTTAAGTTAATTGTGCACCAAATGGGCAATACAAGCCTCAATTGAAAATATATAAATTCTTCGGCACAGTTAGTCCTTTGAACTTAAATTATAATTACAATCATAGCTTGTATGATTTAATTATCCCACCAAAAATTTTAATTGCTATGTGAAGCTCTACTAAATATGCAAAGTGGTGTAGGGTATCATAAAGTCCGTCCGCCCGACTTTAAGATTTTCTTTACTGGTTTTTATTATCTTATGACGATTTTAATGGTTTACGCGCAAAGATAATAACGTCGATTTAAACCATTTCACAACAAATTGTCTTTTATTTATCTCTTGTTGTTGGTTTTCTTAAAGACATGTTAATTGGCCGATAATTCTTTGTTGTTACAAACGAGAAAAGACTGTTGCCGACCCAATATGACGGAAGCATAGCCATAATCCATTGTTAATAGCTTCCAATTGACTTTTTTGCCGGTTGCGCATCAGCAGTTGTCGTTCGCTCGTTCGACATACCCCTATCTCATATGATTCTCCCGCACCATAGCCATAGCCATCGCCGTTGTCGTTTTCGTTCCGCTTCATTTGTTGCGATTTGTGTCTTCTTCTTTGTTTGATTTTCGATGCTAAAATATTTTTGTTTATTTTTGTTGGCATCTCTTTTCAGCTGCTCTTTCATCAGCTTCTACTAAAGCGGCTGCTTTAAAATTCAAATTCTGGTTTTAATTCATGCATTTCACGAATTTCACAGAGCAACAAGTTTTGTCTCTGTTGCTGCTGCTGTTGTTGTTCTGGTTTTATTTACGATTGGTAGTAAGCGTTTAGCAGCTATTTCGCCCAGCTGCTGCGCTATTCTTTTGGCTTGTCTTGTAGCTTTTGTGGTTTCGTCTTCTACTTTTAGTTCAGTTTCCTCTTTCATTGGCTTAACAACACACACTTTGCTGTGCAATTTGACCGGCTGTCCAGCACTTTGACTTGGTGTCCAAAACAAGAAGTAGAAGAAGAAGAATAGAGAATAAAAAAGGCCCAGACAAAACCAAAATAAAATGCTGCCCCTCCGAGATGACGTTCTGGATAGAATGGGTAAAATGATTGGCTATACCCAGGTGTATCTTTTTACGATCCTACTAATGTACATCTGTTATACATTCCGAATGTCAGCCTGCGCACTGCCCAGCGATGCCCAGTCTAATGTCTGTCTGGGGACTGTGGTCCTAACGTTGATAATGTTGGCTCTGGCCATTACACTGGCCGTGGGTATTTCATTGGTAGGTAAGACGGACTGACTAATTGTCACAACCAATGTCACTGTAAATGCCAAAAAAAACATTGTTTTTTGTGAGTGTGTTTGTGTGTGCAATTAAATGTTTGTGTAAAAATGCAGTAAATGTAACAAAATTAAGTAAGTTTTAAAGTAAACCAAACTAAGCCTATGGGAATTTGTTAAAAAAAATATGTGAACATAAGAAACATCCAGAAATATAACCAACCAGTAAAAAGGCATTAAGTTCCTCTAATACCCTCCACCATTAGGGAAAGAAAACATTTTTATGCAAAAGTACCTGGATTCAATCGTGTTCCACTTTAAACTACAAACTCCAGTAAGATTGGTAAAAGAATGCAGTTGGAGTTTTCAAAAAACAATATAGTGGTTGGAGGCGTTATATGGGGGCCATACCAAAACGGGAGCCTCATAGACAATTGAACACTACAACGATTGTAATCAATTGCGAGTCTTAAATACCAAATTTGACATGATTTCTTAGAAAAATGTGACTACGATTATCAAACTACCGAATATCGGTCTATATATCCAATATCAAATACCTAACCGTTGTATGGAACCCGCTGACCGATATGCACAATGTCTGGACCCATTATAAAGTACAAATGCCAAATTTCACACAAATGTACTAGAAAATGTGGCTTAAATCGTAAAAATACCGAATGTCCGAAGGAACCGTTAAACGTGGACCAAGGCATAGTATGTTCCGTCCGAACCCATTACGAACTACAAATACCAATTTTTAGACTAATCCGTTAAAGAATGTGGCAAAATAATGAAAATACCGAATTCCGGAGGTACCGTTATATGGGACTTTCAAATCGTAGACCTATATGAACTATGTTCCGCCACTGGAGATAGAACCCATTACGAATTACAAATACCATTTTTTAGACAAATCCTTTTGAAAAAGGTGGCAAAAATAATCAAAATACCAAATATCGGGAGGTACCGTTATATCGGGGCTGTACGGAAACGTGGACCTATATAACCAATGTTCTGTCAACGAAGCTGGATTTCATTACAAAGAGCAAATACCATTTTTAGATAATTTGGTGAAAAAAATTGGCTAAAACCATAAAAATACCGAATATCGGGAGGTACCCTTATATGGGGGCAATACGAAAACCTGGACCTATATACACAATGTTCCGCCATCGAAGCTAGAACTCATAACGAACTACAAATACCAATTTTTAGATAATTTGAAGACAAATCCGTTGAAAAAGGTGGCAAAAATAATCAAAATACCAAATATCGGGAGGTACCGTTATATCGGAGGTGTACGAAAAAGTGGACCTATATAACCAATGTTCTGTCACCGAAGCTGGAATTCATTACAAAGAACAAATACAATTTTTAGATAATTTGGTGAAAAAATGGCTAAAACCATCAAAATACCGAATATCGGGAGGTACCGTTATATGGGGGAATACGAAAACCTTGACCTATATACACAATGTTCCGCCATCGAAGCTAGAACTCATAACGAACTACAAATACCAATATTTAGATAATTTGGTGAAAAAATGTGGCTAAAACCATTAAAATATTGAATTTCGGGATCTACCGTTGTATGTACCCCAAAAACGTGGACCGATATATCTTATTTCCAAGACCAGCCATTCTAGACACAATACAAACGACTGTGCCAAATTTTAATAATGTGGCCTGTATCGTGATTTCAACAGACGGCCAGACAGGCAGATGGACGGACGGACAGACTGAAGGACGGACATCGTTAAATTGACTTAGAATGTCATGCTTATCATGAATTATGCTGTTCAGAAGTTGTTACAAACGAATGTCTCCTTTCCAAGGTTGAGGGTAAAAAAATAAGGAGTATTCGTATATAAAGTGCATTTAGGTGAATAATGTCGCTAAAATCATGAATATACCGAATATCTTGAGATACAGTTATAGGGGTGCTATACTAAAACGTGGACCAATGTAGACTCTCTTCCAGGAGGTAAGTAAGTAAACTCCATGTGTGGATTTTCAGACCATTCCTTTGGAAAATGTGGCTAAAATCATCTAAATACCGAATATGGGAATGTGCCAATATATGGGGGCTATAGGAAAACGTGGACAATTTTCTGTCATAGGAAATAGCATCCACTAGGAGCTCCAAATACCGAATTTTAAGTTATTCCGTTAGAAACAATGACTAAAATCGTCAAAATAATGAATATCGGAAGGTGTAATAATATGGGGGTATACAAAAGCATGGCCTTATATGGACAATGTTCTGCCACAGTAGTAAGTTCTATCATTACGAAGTCCAAATACCGAATGTGGGAAGGTACAATTCTGTGGCAAGCATGGACCTAGACATAGACTTATATGGACATGGACTTTTATGGACACTGTTCTGCCACAGCAAACACATCAAAGGAAATCCCATTATAAATTTCAATTGCCGAATTTTAAGCTTTCTGCTAGAGACTGTGGCAAAAATCATAAAAATACCAAATGAGAGGATGTACATTTATATTGGAACTACATGCAAACGATATAGCTAATCCTCGAATTTAACCTGCCTGGAGGGAAAGGTCAACCGTTGGCAATTTCTTAGCTTTCAGTCACGTTGCGTTTGGATAAATCGACTTATAATTTTTGATTATTCCAATAAGTTACAAACTCAATACATCCTCCATACTATATATGGTGGAGGGTATTAATATGAAAGAACAGTTAACATTTGATATGAGATGGAACTAATATGCAAAATCTATATAATTTAATTTGGAACCTTAAAGGTTAAATCGAATGAAATTTATATATGGACGCTATAGATATATTTGAAGCGATTTGGTCCCAATTTGACAGACTTTATTTTAGTCGAATCTTGATCGTATAATCCCAATTTTTTAAAATTCGAGCATTTCCAGAATATCATTAACAAATATATATTTTTGAACCTATATTCTTCTGTTTGTACATTTGATTGTTTGTAATTTATACACCCAAAAACCGCTAACCAGATTTTCCTGAACATTTTTCCAAATATACTGTATCGCCTAAAAATAACGTAGGCTATATAATTTTTTTTTGAATTCCACTTGGAACTTGAGAGTTTGTATGCTCATATGTATAGGTACAGAAGTAAACTGGCGTAATTATATTGAAATCGGTTCAGATTTGGATATAGCTCCTATATATTTTTTCTTCCAACTTAAGGTATTTGTGGAATCAGTTTCCAATGAAACTTGGAATGAGTGATGGAATTTGGTCCATAAATTTATTTTTCAAATTATTTTGAAATCGCTTTATATTTGGATATAGCTCCCATACATATACGTCACATATTCTAAAGATTTCTAATACGATTCTCGCTCCCCTTTGCAGCGCCAATCAAAATATATCCTGCCCTGGCTCATAATGTCCACCGTAACGGTTGTTGTCATCATCATTTATTTGATCATTTATGGAAACATTTTTCTTACCATTATGGGAGGACTAGTGTTATGTAAGTAGATAGTAAAAACATTATATCCTGATCTCCAATATTAATCCTCTCTTTATAGTTCTGGTTATTCTGTCTTGGTATCCCTCACTCAAGCTGTACCAACGATTTCGTACAGAGCAAGACATTGAAATGCAACAGTATCCAGCTGAGGAATCTAGACCGTTATACCATCTACCACCCTCCGCTTCACTGCCCCTCTACAGTGAAGTAGTGCGTGATCCCCTACAAATGAACACCATGGAACCACCCTCGTACGATGAAGTGATAACCATGAAGATGAAACCCATCGATTCACTGGACATTTGATACCGAACCGGTTTTGGGAGAATGCAATCAATTGAAATTTTGTTGTTGCTAAAATTTCATCTAATTTCTAAAATAGCCAGCGCTGCGGTCACAAATCGTGTTTTACTGCTGCCCAAGGCCACTTGAATTAACGCCTTATTAAGAGTTCATTAGACCCCTGTCACCCAAACACCAACAGCAACGACATCGCTATCACCGTAAAACATTGTCTTGTTAGGTGGTAAAGGGTGTTGTGTTATTTCGTTTGATAAATATTTCATTTATTAATTTGGAACAGAAAAAAGTGTAGATCGATGATGTTATTTTATGTCATTATCATTGACATTTGTAAATATATTTTTGGATTGAATTATAAACAAAACTTTGAAATAATAAACCAGTAAGGAAAGCTCAAAAGTCGGGCGGGGCCGACTATATGATACCCTACACCACTATGCATATTTAGTAGAGCTCTCGTAAAAAGGTTTATACAGGGCATTTCAGAGCTCTATGAGATGTTTGGTACAAAATCAAAATCTATCGTGCATTTTACGAACTATAGCTATCTTTGAACCGGATTTCTCCAAATTTGACGTATTAGCTTCTAGACTGAATTCGGTCTTATGTACGAAAATTCAGGTGATTTGGGCTGATATTGGCCATTTGTTGCACAATTAACACGAAATCGGATGAAGATATATATGGGAGGCATATCCAAATCGGAACAGATTTTAATAAAATTAAAATCAACTATTTTTGGGCTTTATCTGATATCTGGTACCAAATATCATACCTGTGGAGTGCATATTACGAATGTGAGGGACAAATCGGATGAAAGATATATATGGGAGCTATAGCTATATCTGAACCGATTTTTACTAAAATTGGTGTACTTGCTTCTAAGCTGGTTTCGGTCGGATTTGCCAAAAATTGATGCTATTACGGCCATTTGGTGGTCAGTCACCCGAAATCGGATGAAGATATATATGGGAGCTATATCCAAATCTGAACCGATTTCGATAAAATTTAAAACAGCTATTCCTGTGCTCCATCTAATACTTGGTACCAAATATCACGGTTGTGGAGTGAATATTACGAATGTAAGGGACTAAAACACTAAATCGGATGAAACATATATATGGTTGCTATATCTATATCTGAACCGATTTTCACTAAATTTGATATACTTGCTTCTAGGCTGAATTTGGTCCGATGTACTAAAATTCAGTCCATTTGGTCTTATACCGGCCATTTGGTTCACAATTAACCCGAAATCGGATGAAGATATATATGGGAGCTATATCCAAATCTGAACCGATTTCGATAAAATTACAAACAGCTATTTCTGGGCTGTATCTTATATCTGGTACCAAATATCATTCTTGTGGAGTGCATATTACGAATGTGAGAGGCTTAAACACCAAATCGGATAAAACATATATATGGGAGCTATAGCTGTTTCTGAACCGATTTTCTCCAAATTTGTTGTATTTGCTTTAAGGCTAATATCGGTCACATGTGCCAAAATTCGGGCCATTTGGGCTGATATTGGCCATTTGGTGGTCAATTAACCCGAAATCGGATGAAAATATATATGGGAGCTATATCCAAATCTGAACCGATTTCGATAAAATTTAAAACAGCTATTTCTGTGCTCCATCTAATACCTGGTACCAAATATCACGGTTGTGGAGTGCATAGTAGGAATGTGAGGGACTTAAAGATCAAATCGGATGAAAGATATATATGGGAGCTATAGCTATATCTGAACCGATTTTCTCCAAATTTGATATACTTGCTTCTAGGCCGAACTCGGTTGGGTGTGCCAAAATTCAGGTAATTTGGACTGATAGTGGACATTTGGTGCACATTTAACCCGAAATCGGATGAAGATATATATGGGAGCTATATCCAAATCTGAACCGATTTCGATAAAATTTAAAACAGCTATTCCTGTGCTCCATCTAATACCTGGTACCAAATATCACGGTTGTGGAGTGCATAGTAGGAATGTGAGGGACTTAAAGATCAAATCGGATGAAAGATATATATGGGAGCTATAGCTATATCTGAACCGATTTTCTCCAAATTTGATATACTTGCTTCTAGGCCGAACTCGGTTGGGTGTGCCAAAATTCAGGTAATTTGGACTGATAGTGGACATTTGGTGCACATTTAACCCGAAATCGGATGAAGATATATATGGGAGCTATATCTAAATTTGATCCGATTCTCACCAATTTCAATAGGGTTCGTCCTTGGGCCAAAAAAATGTTGTTTGGAAAATTTCATCCCAATCGGATAATAACCTGCATTTTGTTCACAAGAATACATGGACAGACGGACGGACGGACGGACGGACGGACAGACGGACTGACATGCATAAATCGACTCAGAAAGTGATTCTATGAAGGTTCTCAAAAGTAACTATGGGTCTATCTCGTTTCCTTCTCCATGTTACAAACAAATGCACAAAGACATAATACCCTTACCACTATGTGGTGTAGGGTATAAAAAAACATTACTGAGTGCCAAATTACCAATTCCTCGATTCAATAAAAATTGAAATATAAAATGTGCGTATTATTTTAACAAGTATTTTTGAAGAGGAATAAATTACATGAGGGAAAACATACCCACCACCATAACAGAATACCAAATAAAATAACAAGTAAAAAAGCTGTAAGTTCGGCTGGGCCGAACTTTGAATACCCTCCACCATTTGGAACGAATTGGGCAATTCTCAAAAACAAATAAAATCCGCTTTTGTCAAAATCTTAAAAATACCGAATGTAGCGGTTATATTAGAGTCAATACGACGACATGGACCTGCATAGGTTACTTTTGTCATAAGCCAGTACAATATTTAATTGAAAACTTAAAAAAATCGTTGAAAAATGTAGCTAACATCATCAATATATTGGAGTATATACGACGACCTGGACCTGTACACATAATTTTCTGTGTAGTATTCCTTACGAAATTCAAATACCAAATTTGAAATAGTTCCGTTAGTTACATGGCCCATTTTCAATACCAAAAGTCCTGCAGACATAATGCACATTTGAGTGAATTTTTATCAACATACTTAATTTTGTTCGGAAGATAGAGTGATTTTCCCAGACGGACAGACGGATGACGGACGGACATTGCTAAATCGACATAGAATTTTATGCTGATGAAGAATATATATACATTTTGTGGTCTAAAATTTATATTTCGAGGTGTTACAAACGGAATGACAAACTTAATATACACTCCATACTATGGTGGAGGGTATAAAAAACCTTTTACAATGAGCAGTAAAATATTAATAACCAGAAATTTCCAAATATACCTTGGAAATGCTGTTAAACCTTGAAAATCCAGAAAACCGCAGTCATCATTGTTCTTTGGCTTTATCTAAAGTATGAAAGTAGAACTAAAAATAGAAGACAGGTGTATCGACATTTTGAAAGTTGGCATTACAAAGTAACCTAAGTAGAACGAGCAATTTCTCCCCTCTTCCTCAATTTTATAAATTTTCGGACTAAAATTCCTTGAATTTGGCAGTATAGCAGATATAATAGATATATAACAGTAGTAAGTTCGGCCAGGCCAAACTTTGAATACCCCTCACCGTGTGGAAGGAAAAATAAAAGAATAAATAAATAAAATTTTATGAAAAATACTGTTAAAATCATATAAATAACCAATCGCTAAAATCGTCAAAATACCGAATATAGGGAGGTACCGTTATGGTGCCTACATGAAAACGTGGACCAACATGACATTTATTTTCGAACTTCATCTGACTGACAAAATACGCATGTGTGCAAAATTTTAGGCTTTTATCTCAATTCGTGCGAACGGAATGACGAAGTTAATATACTCTCATACCCTCCATACTATGGAGGGTATAAAAATGTTAATCACAGCAGAAACTAAATGCATTATGTGCAGATGCACCATTTGGAAAAAACCGAAAAAACCGTTTAAATGATAATCATTATATGGGGCTATACGAAGACTGCATACGAAATTTTCAGGCATAGGCTGTAGTACCCATTACAAACTTCGAATACGAAATTTGAAACAATTAGGGTGAATTATGTAGCTAAAATCATCAGAATATCGAATATCGGGGGGTACAGCTATATGACGAAGTGACGGAATGAAAAAGTTATATACCCTCATACCCTTCATAGTATTGTGGAGAGTATAAAAATTGTTAATCATAGCAGAAACTAAATGCATTATGTGCAGATACACCATTTGGAAGAAACTTGAAAATTTTCAAAAAATTCCGAAACATACCGTTTGAATGATAACTTTTATATGGGGCTATAGGAAGAGGTGGACCTACATAAGTAATTTTTGTCATAGGCTGTAGTACCCATTAAGATCTTCAAATTCAAAATTTGAAACAATTCCGGTGAATAATGTTACTTAAATTATCAAAAATCCGAATAAAGGGGGGTACTGTTATATGGGGGCTATACGAAGACGTGAAACTGTATGCGAAAGTTTTAGGCATATATTGCAGTACCCATTACAAACATGGAATACGAATATCGGGAGGTACCGTTATATGGGGGCTATACGAAGACCTGGACCTGCGCAAATAATTTTCTGTCTTAGGCTGTAGTATCCATTACGAACTTCAAGTACCAAATTTGAAACAATTCCGGTTAATAATATCGCTAAAATCATCGAAATACCGAATATCGGGACGTACCGTCATATGGAGGATATATGAAGACGTGGACCTGCATACAAAATTTTATGCATATGCTCCCATTACATACCACAATTAGCGTGAATAATGTAGCTAAAATCATCAAAATATCGAATAAAGGGGGGTACCGGTATATGGGGGTTATACGAAGACGTGGACCGACTTGGCCCATTTAGGAACATGCTTACGCAAATTACACATGTCTGCAAAATTTTAGCCTTCTATCTCAATTCGTTCGAAAAATAGCGTGATTACAACAGATAGACAGGCGGACATCGCTAAATCGTCTTATAATTTTACGCTGATCCAGAATATTGTAGGGTCTATCATAAATATTTCGAGGAGTTACAAACGGAATGACGAAGTTAATATATCCTCCATAGAATGGTGGAGACAGACAGACGGAAATGGGGAAATCGACATCAAATTTGATGCTGATCAAAAATATATATTCTTTGTACAATGGATATTTTGAGGTGCTACAAACGGAATGACAAACTTAATATACCCTTCATACTTTGGTAAAGGGTAGAATAACTTCTAAAAATGTATACCTTTTGAAAGGATTCTAAAAAAAATTGTGTTTTTGAAGTATCAGAATAAATTGTTCTTGAAGAGTTAAGCGTGTAGTTAATGCTGTCGTAAGATTTGTGTATGGCTTGAAGAAACGTGATCAT